TGTATAAGGGGTCTACTCACCATAATAACACTAGTTTTTGGGTGTATTGGGGACTTGAGTACTTATGTATCAAGAGAGGGTTTGCAATATTTTTGTACAAAAATTATATGAGTGGGTTTGCAATTTTGTCCTTGTAAAAATTGTATGAGAGTTTGTTTCACTATCTTTGTTTCTCTCGTGTGTGCTTCTGCATATGAAGATTTCTTTTCCCCTTTAGTACCCAATAGTGGTATCAGACCTGTTGGTGTGGTGGGGCTCTGTGGGATTCTTAATTCTTAGGATGTTCTATGGTTGCAGCATTATCTGATCTTCCACATCAGAAAAGAATGATATTTTGTCTAGGGTGGAAGAGAAGCAGTATGGGTCAGAGCAGTGCGATGTTAGGTTCTGTTCAAAGAGGAAGAGAAGTCGTACTGAGTCAAAGCAATGTGATGCTAGGTTCTATCTAAAGAGGAAGAGAAGCAGTGTGAGTTGTCATGATGATGGATTAATGTGAGACTTTGGATGAAGGGAGGATATGTTGTACCCAAAGGTTATGGGTATCCTCCAAAGTCCCACATCGGGTAGTTTGAAGAAGAGGAGTGGTAGGCTACTACTATAAATAAGGGGTGATAGTTTGAGTCTACTCATCACAACAACATTAGTCTTTGGGTGTATTGGGAACTTGGGTAGTTGTGTGTCAAGAGAGAGTTTGCAATTTTCTCGTGCAAAAATTGTATGAAAGGGTTTGCAATTTTGTCCTTGTAAAAATTACAAGTTGAGAAATGAAGAGTTGTTGAGTGTGTTAGTGGATGTAGGCAAGAAGTGTTGAACCATGTTAATTTCTGAGTTTGTTTCTCTATCTTTGTTTCTCTTTTGTGTGCTTCTGCAGGTGAATATTTCTTTTCCCCTCTAGTACCCAACGATTGTTTTTTATATTCCAATCATTTTTTAATGAAATTAAAACTCAGTTTGAGATTTTTATTCGAACTTTGTGAAATGATAATGATCGTGAATACCTTTCTCGTTCTTTTAAATATTTTATGGTTTCTCATGATATTCTTCATCAAACTTCATATGCTTATACACCTCAATAAAAATGTGGTGGTTAAGCTGAAGAATAGACATCTTATTAAAATAACTTGCACTCTTTTAACTCATGGTAAGGTTCCTAAACAATTTTGGGATGATGTTGTTCTTACCGCATGTCACCTTCGACTCTAAATAACAAAATTCCGTATTTTTATTTTATTTTCTAATGAACCTCTATATCTCTTACCTCTTAAAGTTTTTAGTCTACATGTTTTGTTTATAATTTTAGTTCTGATCTTAATAAGTTACCTCCTAAATCACACAATTGTGTTTTTTTAGGATTTACTCAGATCACAAAAAGGATATAAGTGTTTCTCTCCTTCTCTTAACTGTTATTTTATTTCTAAATATGTCATATTTAATGAGTCTTCCTCTTACTTTTAACTATCCTTCTTCTCCGTCTATGTCACCTTTTACTACTATCCAATATTCCTGTTATGTGTGATTCTCTTGTTAGTCCACCTTCGGATCCTCCCTCGTCACCACCACTTCAGATTTATATTCGAACACAATGATCCTAACAATCACCAAATGACTCACTTTCAGTGCCAACCCCTTTGTCTCATTCGACACCGACACTCTGAGTTTGACCTTCCATAAAGGTATATTTTCTACTCGTAATCTCTCTCCTCATTATACAACTTTGAGTTACCATAAATTATATTCACCTTTTTATATTTGTCTTTCGTCTATTCTTCTGTGTCAATTTCCAAATCCGTAGGTGATGTCTAGTTCATCCTGATTGGCGTCAGGTCATGCTTGATGAAGTGAGTGTTCTTTAAAATAGTGGAATTCATTACCGTCTGGGAAATATGTTGTTGATTGTAAGTAGATTTTTGCTATCAAAGTTGGTCCTTATGGTACTATTAATTGTCTCAAAGCTCGTCTTGTGACTAAAGGTTACACACAAATTTTAGGTTTGGATTATGGTGACACCTTTTCTCCAATGGTAAATATGACTTTTGTTCGTTGTTCATAACCATGTTGCTCTTTAACAATGACTTCTTTATCAACTGGATGTCAAAAATATTTTTCTTAATGGAAATTTGTAGGAAGAAATTTACATTGAACAACCTCCAGACTTTGTTGCTCATGGGAGTCTTCTGGATTAGTATATCATCTTTACAAATCTTTATATGAACTAAAATAGTTTCATAGGATCTTGTTTGGAAAATTACAGTATTGTTCAATAGTTTGATATAATTCACAATAAGACAGGTCACTCAGTATTTTACCGTCACTCAAGTGCTGAGTTATCTATTTTAATAGTATATGTTGATGATATTGTTCTTATACGGAGTGATCACCATGGCATCTCCTAGATGAAACAATACCTTTATCACAATTTTCAAACCAAAAATCTTGACAAACTTAAATATTTATTGGGAATTGAGATTAAACAATCCAATAATGACATTGTTATATCTTAGAAAAAGTGTGCATTAAATATTTTAGAAGAAATTGGGTTGATGAATTCAAAATTTATTGATACACCCATGAATCTAATATCAAACTCCTACCTAATAAGGAAGAACCTCTCTCAAATCTTGAGAAGTACAGAAGATATTTTAGTGAGAGAATGTTCAATATTTTAAATATTATTACTCATAATATATGTATTTTTTATATTTATTTATGCGACTCTTAATTATAAATATATTACCCTATATGTTATATACAAGAGAAATTAACCTTATATTTAGTTTTTCTTTATATTCAACCATCTTCTATCTAAATATAAACTAAATTATATGTACGTGAATATAAGTTTAAATTTTATTTTTAATACACAATCTATATTATAGACGACAACATAAAATTATTTATCATTATTTTACTAATTATTTTAAGAAATAATTAAATTAAATTTTTAAAAAACTATGGGTTGAAAAAGATAAATTTAAATAAATCAAACATGCAAATAAAAATAAAAGGAAAGTAGTATGAGAAAGTACAAATTAAATTATTTGAAATATTTTTCTTTTATGATTATACTGTGTATAGCTTCGCGTTACCAAATTTTTTTTTCTTGAAACAAATATCCATGTTCAACTTAAAAAGAAAAAAATTGTTAAATAGTTAAAATTATTTAAGGAAATGAACACCTTTTATATTTTAAACTATAAAATAAATGTAATCGATATTTACTTTCAACATTTAGTATATTACCTCGTCTAAAATCCTTAAAATTGATTTTAAGTATTGACTTTAATATTTTATTACGATAATCAACAATTTGTGATAAAAAAACATGACAAACTAAAAAATAAAAAATGAAGGAAAAAACAATTTTTGAAAACTGTATTATTGTCTTTTTCTAACATCATTTTCATTAAAAAACAAAAACAAAAAAATGTCCATCATATAGGTATTGTCTCTATTCGTGATTCATGGAAACACATTGTCTCTGTTTGTGATGCTTGGACAAAAATGAAAAGAATCAGTCACTTCAGTGTGTTAGTGTTGTTTATCATTTACGATGAATTTTACAGTGAATTATAATGCATAACATAAAAAATGTTATTAATTTATTTTATCTATTAAAAATCCAATTTAATAAATATTCCATTTATTATATCTATTAACACTTTTTTTATGGATGAATATAAAATCTATCCATAAAAACAATATTTATTTATTTTTTACTTTTATTTTTTCAAAAATAAAATTAAAAATATTTCTGAAAAAATGATTTAATTATGAAAAAATTGATTGTACTAGTTTTGATCTTTTAGTATTATTAAGGGATTCATTAGATTTTAAAAAGTAATGAATAAATAACTATCCATCCATAAATTTAGACAAATGTATTTGATTCATAATTTTTTATATTTTTATTATGGATATGAATTTAATTCTGAATAGAAATGGGACAAGATGTTTACTTTTTCACCCTAATGTTATTCAACAGTTTTACGTATTCACAAAACTTGGTGGAATCATGCATTTGTGGATTAAAGCAGGTGAGTGAGTTATTTGATGAATGAATGGTAAGTGCAGACAAGTGTAAGTGTTTGTACACTAGTTGTACGATATAGAGAAAAAACCTTGCTAACTATCATGTATGCAGGTTCAACTAGTCATTGATTTGGACACATATGAAGCTACATTATTTGGTGATTCTATAGTGAATTTGTTCTCTTACTGCCTAAAATTTTTTTGCAGTAGTTCATGTCATTCTTTGCAGATTGTAGGGATGGAGTGAAGGGGAAGATAGATACAGTACAATGGTATAGAGTTTTGATCATGATATACAATGCATGTCTCTTTTGATTTCTTTGCTAATAATTAGAAAAAACAAGATCACAAATCCATGATTATTCTTGCTTGTCGCTTCATAAAAAGCTTTGTCTCGTAATCCCTCGTCAGATTGATTAGCACGAAAGGAATATCTTTTCCAAATGACAGTGCATCATAATCATTTTTATTCTCATTAAAAGCCAAGTTGTTTTCATTACCAGAGTAATTATTATGGCCAATTTATTAATGCATCACCTTTTAATATCGTTTTGTTCTTCACGCATCGTCCTACATAAGTGAGCAAATTCCAATACCTAGAGAACGAAAGGAAGGGACAAAAAGAAAACCAATAAACTTGTGTTTTTAACAACACCAAGCAGAAACTATTTATTTCATCAGTTTCAAACATAGCATCAATACTAATCATTCATATTTGTTTTTTTTTATCAATACAAATATAGAGGTTTAAGCATTGAAACTACATCATGTTTTATTCAAAGAGATGTAACGTGATCGAATTAATGTGAATGATATATAAGAAACATTTATATATGCATGCAAATATATATCAGTCTATTTTACAATCAAAAGAAACCTTTTCAGCGAAAAGCATTGTCTTATAAAAATAATAAAGAAGTAATTCAAACACGCTGAACTCAGCCTATGCTTTCTTACCTTTTCTTGTTACTTCATAGCCAATCAAATCCGGATTCCATAAAAGTTGTCACTGGTAGAAAATCAAAATTTGGGTCATACAGTGAATCACCCCAAGGAAAGTGGGTGGTCTCACTGCCTGATTTTGGAGATAAATACCCTTTATCAACCGAACTAGGGTTATCATTGTCTTCCAGTATCTTATTTCCCTGACAAGATGATTCAGGCAAATCCATCTTCAGTAACTCCGAGAAGAAATTTCCATCCATCTCAAGATCTTCCATGAAATTCAGCACTGAATCATTGTTACTCTCTGAAGATGGAGACACTAGAAATGCCTTCATTTTGTTATGATCACCAACATTGCTCTTTTTGACTTCACTATGTTGACTAATTTCATTGGTCACTGTGACCTTGCTCCATCTTGTTGCTTTAGTCTGAACAAGACACGAACCCTTATCATAGTGCCATTCTTGGTTCTTCACGTTTTGATCATGCTGAACTGTGTTTAAACTGCTTCGTGCACCTCCACTTGTAATGGAGTATCCCGGGGTGCCATTTTGAAGTTTCCTTCCAATGTTGGTGTTCCAATAATTCTTTATTTCATTGTCTGTTCGTCCTGGAAGCCGTCCAGCAATCAAGGACCACCTAAAATCATTGCAACACTTTTGTTATTCCATGATATCAGTATCAATTTGACACCATTTTTTCAAATCAACGCAAATTCTATTCCTATATTCATGGTTTTATAACTTTTCATAAAGAGATGGAAAAGGAGAGAAAAACAATAATGAATAAAATGTAAGAAAGCTTTGTAAAATTTTCTTATATTTCTTGTGCTATTGTACTTCCTTTCTCATTATAAAAGTTTGATATACCTGTTTCCAAGAAGATTGTGAAGCCTGATAATAAGCTCCTCTTCATCATTAGTAATGTTGCCTCTCTTAATGCCAGGTCTGAGATAATTCAACCATCTCAGCCTGCAACTTTTCCCGCATCTCTTAAGACCTGCATGAAACCATTGCACATTACAAAACTACTATATACATGTAAGCTGAAATTAATCAATTCAACTTCCCAACTGAATGAATGAACTGTGCAAGTGAATGCATATACATTATATATATATGCATGCATTTCATCATCATGATCATCACCTGCTCTTTTGGGCATGTGTCTCCATTTTCCTTCGCCATGAATGTTAATGTATTCTGTCAGAATTTTATCTTCGAGAGCAGTCCAAGCTCCTTTGTTCAAGCCTTCTTTAGAACAACAAGGGCTTCTTCCCATGTCTTTGGGCACGTGCAAGTAAGTGTTGATGAAGAGAGTGAGAAAGATGGTGTGTGCTGGCAGCTGAGGGGTGCATAATCACGTATACTCTATATATAATATGCACAAATACATTATTCTTATTAGGGAAAGACCCAAGATGAACCCTCTATCTGGGTCTCCACCACCAATAATTTGCTTTCAATGAATATAAAATAGCTTACGTTTCAAATTAGCTTGCCTCATATTGGGGCCACATATAGTTTCGACAATGTTTCAGTCAGTGGAGATTAATTAATAACAACATAAAAGCAAATTCATACGTGAATACACCCATCTGCCATTCATACACATCACTTGCAGCTACTTTCTATCTAACTTTCCCACCTTCGTGAAAGTTTGTTGGATGTCAAATATATCTCAAAATTTTTAAATTTAAAACTCCCTCAAGACAATTACAAATTATTTTCTTTCTTTTATCTTATTAAAAAGAATTAAAATATTAAAAGAAAGGAATATTTTACATATATCAAACCCATGTTAATATTTTTGTAGACATTTTTTGAAATTGGTATAAGTTAATCAAAGATTAGTCCAATTGCAACAGCATTTTAACTCTAACCCCTTCAATCGTAAAGCAGATATTTCACCTTGTTAATATATTATCTTATTATTTTATTCCACGTTTTGATCAATGTCAGTTTTTCGTTCAATAAATTGTTACGTCAATTGTGAAACCTATTTTTTCAATTTTGTCCCTTTTTTAACGTTTCACAGAACTGTTAGAATATGTTAGTTTCAAAGGCCTTTTCTTTCTTCCATTTTTCTTATAAATGTCTAGAAATGATAGAATAATCTTTTTTTTTTACAAAATAATTTCAACTCTAATAATAGTGACTTTTTATTTCATTTTCTCTCAAAGTTTCAGTTTTTGTACGTGTGACTAGAACACTCAAACTACCTAGTTTTCTCAAAGATAATTATTATTATTTTTTTAGTAACCAAACTATCATGATTTTCAGCCGTAACTTGTAACAATCTAAAATATAAGAATGTGATAAGCAAATTTTCTTCTTTAATTATAATTTACTGTTATTTTATTACCTTTTAATTTTTGTTAAATTTAAGGAGTAAAAAGAAACAGTAAATTCAGTAGTTTGTTCCATATAAGAGGGCATGTGGGTGGAGGGGTCCTAAGCTTGTTTTTTTTTTTTTTTAATTTGTCTAAAAATTCTTGTAAAATAGATGGATTTTTCCAATTTTGTCAAAAAAAATGTAATGGGAAGAAAGATTTTTCTAACATTTTTTTTCCTTCTTTTAGTTTTTCTATTTATTAGTTTTTACCACTTTCTCTTTTTTTTCATTGTCTTGTTTCATTTGCTTTATCTAATTCTCTACCATTATACGATTAAGTTTTTAAATTTTGGTGAGAGACATATCAAATTTGAAAAGTAAGAAAAAAAGAAGATGAAAATTTTCCAAACAAGAGAGGTGTATGTTTTTTCACTGTTTTTGGAATGATGATCGTTTACCAAATATGTTAAGGTTTGTTCGATTAACTATAGAATATGTATGTCATGCTTTTCACTGATTTGTTTATCAATAGGTTACTGATTATTTACATTTCGTCATTCAACTTTTATAAATGGATTTGTATTTTTTTTTTACTTGAAATTATTAACAATGTTGATTTCTAAAATTTGGAAATAAAAGAAAGAAAACCGATTCATAACTCATTATTATATATATGAAAGTTTTTGACTTATATAAATAGTTATCTATGTCAACTTAAGAAAATAACAAAGACAAAATCAACTAATGATTAATTTAGAATTGTACATTTAAAATAAATTTACTACAATTTAAATAATTTTTTATATCATTAAGTCGCGGTATACTGGACTTTAATAAAATTAATCTAAATTTAATTTAAATCACTTTTGTATACTCAACTTTAATTCGTTTTACTAGTTATTCAAGTCAAATCAATATTAATACCTTTTTTAATCATGATTAGATAAATGTGGATGCCATTAATTCCAAAATCTAAAACAATTTCAATACTTTAAATCACCTCAAGTTTGATTGTAAGGAAAGCCATTGTCATAACGTATTTTCTCTTTATAGCTTTTATATCATTCTTTTATTCACCGTTTACTATACATTGTAGAATGCATTTACTAATCGTTTACTTTATTTTTTAAAATATTTTACTTATAATTTTTTTTGTTTAAGTTTAATATGTGAATAAGATCTTCCTGGTCAAACCTTAAATTTTGTAAAAATGTTGCTGATATAACATACGGAGATAAAAAAGATGTAAGATGATTATTTAAAATTTTGTTTAAGAAAAATGTTTCAGTACAGTGATGAGTATTTATTCTTTGAAACATGACCTATGTTTGATCACGAACCTGTTCCAAGGTTTAAGTAAAATGAAAATGCTTGAAGTTTTTCTGTTTCCCGCGTCGGCCACCGAGCAAGAATCACAAAGTAAGAAAGAAGTTTATATTAGAGACGTAGAGATCTCAGTATGACTCGTATTTAGTCGACGTAGAATTTCGCCAAACAAATACTAGTGCTGCGATCAAACAAAATCGCAAAATGTACGACAGAACTGATTCACATTTCACACACCACATGTTTTTCTGTCACATTTTGCTGGCATTTCAGACATTTGCTTCCATAAATTTCATGGTCGCCAACAATGAACCTCGCCTCACGATTGGATGGTCAAAAAGATGAGCTACACCAGACAAAATAGAATGAATGAACTACGGCTTAGCCCCTTCTCAAAAGCCAGAAATCTGAAAAGTGAATATGCAATTGAGAATTACTTTCCATAATCACATTTAAGGCTACAACAAAGTGCAAGATCTGTTACTACATTCAGTTCCGACCCAGAAATCTCTGCGTGTAGTTCCATTATTCCAATCAAGTTAACGTTGTGCTCATTCACTTCTTCTTTTCAACATCTTGAGACATTCCATTCTTCTAATTATTGTGTATGTGGACAAGACTTTAATGCTTGAAGTAATTTTTAGAAAACTTTTTTTTTTTAACTTTCTGTTTGGGAACACATTGCTTTTAGGAAACAAAAATTATCGTATACCTAGTTTCATTACGGGATAAACTTAATTAAGAGGTTCAGTATAGATTAGTTGATAATTAATTTTTAAATATTTTAGATTGGTATTTTTTTTTCTTAGAGCTAAAGTTTTATTTCGGTAATTAATGTTATTTTTTAATAAATAATTTATTATAGATAAAGTTGAAAGTGAAGTGTATGTTTAATTTCATTACTAACATGGTTAAAATGCAAACATCATCACTTTCATTCAAAGATGCTATAATAGCATGTTAATTAAAAGTTGGACGTACCCAAAAAAGTTATGAAACAGATGAAACAAACGTGCATAATGATTACCATTAATTCCTAATACAATCACTGTTTAACCTATCCAAAATAATTGACTGCTTGTTCGAATATTTACTGTTTAACCTAAAAATTGACTGTCAGTTAAGATGAATCTGTGCAGTATATACCACTTTGATAAACAAAATTAAATAATTCTCTTAATTATTTAACAAAAATCATACTATATATTCATAGTAGATTCGGTGTTGTATATACCACTTTGATACAGAATGAGTAATCACTTCTCTGCTAAGGTTGAAGTCATCCCAGTAACGCATAGCAGCAAAGGTTTCTGTTCTTTTGACAAGTAAACAAATTGTACATTGATATGTTAGGAAAATATTAATCATTAACCTAATTTTTTTCCTTTATCTGTCTTTATTTTTCTTTTTTATCTTGTTCTATCAATCATCCGTGTCCTTTTTTTCATGTCAATCTACCAAATTTTGGACATGGAGCGTTTGTTTAAGGGCACTGAAATTGTTATGCCATGACATGAATGATTGCATTTCCGACATTCTTCGGGTGTACGTGCTGCGTTATAATGAAGTACTTACTCATTTCTCTAACAACGACAAACCAAGAAAGAATTTAACATTGAAAACTGAACTACAGTATACCCTTCTTCTTCTTCAGAAAGAATCACAAACACTTTCATCAGGGAAAGTTTTAAATTTACTCGCACGTTTACATTGTGTGCACTGAACAAATTTTTGAAAGGTTGCATGTTTTGGATCCATAATAAGATTTAATTCTGCACAAAGATTGTTTAATCAGAATAATGAGGAGATGAGAGTGGTTTAGGCTTTGTTCACGAGGCATTCCGCAAGAAAGAAAAAGGTGAAGTTACATAGAATGAGAGACAGCACAGAGATATGTCAGAGATCGAAGAACAAGGTGACAGAGAAATTCTGCTTTTCCCATGGTCATCGAAATGATTGCGATGAGAAATAACTTTCGAGAAAAATCATTTATGCTTTATGTACAAGACAAAAGTATAGCATTAGTCTGAGGTTATTTCATAAATTAAACTTGATGAATTACAATCTTTCTTTTGTGCTTTCATTGGTTAAATGAGTAGAAATTGAATGATTTTAAGAGAAAATGAAAAGGTGCAGTTATTTTATTTAATGAAAAAAATAGTAACAAGATAAATACAAAATTTATAGGTATATATGGAATTGATTTGATTGACATAATAAATATTAATAGTTTTTTTTTTATATAATATCAAAATTATCATTAGGTATAATTTTAAAATATAAATATTTTCTTTGATAACTTACTTCCTATTCAATTCAGAATCTATCTTAAACATCATTTGTAATTTTTTTTCTACAAATATTTAAAAAAGAGAAAATATACAAAATTGAGATCAACCCTTAAAATTGTTAGTGGGAAATGGTTGAAAGGATCGAAAAACGAAGGAAAGAAAAAATCGAAGACCATATGATTGGTAAAAAACATCGAGAACGTATTTTTGATGAAATTGGTAAAAGCTGGTAACCACAAAGATAAAAGTATATCGAGGATCAAAATCGAGAATCGAAGAAACAAATTTCGATGCCTATTGTTGAAGTTAGAATAGTACAAAATTAAAGGGAATCAAAAGCGAAATTTAAAATACTCGATGTCTGAAATCGAGATCGAGGGAGCGGTTAACACTCACAGGGAACGTGGGAAACAGTTTCTAAATCGCAACAGAAATCGAAGGAGGAGCAGTTCTCTTATACGTAAGAACGTGGAGTGCAGTTTTTAAAGCGGTAAGACTAAAGGAACGGACACGTAAGATCGTGGTGATAGTGGTATTAACCACTCTTGGGAGGTTACTTGAAGGATGCTCTATAAATAGAGCGAAGACTGGAAAAGAAAGGGGAAATTGGCAGAAAGAACAGAAATACTAGTGAGAAGTCTACAGGAGAACGACGCAATCATGAAGTTTCTGGCGATCTGGATTTCCATTTTCATTGACTGCCTTTATCGCTTTCTTTACTTTCCCTAGTAATTTATGTTCATGCAATTTACTTTGATGCAGTTTACGTTCAAGCAACTTTAAGTTCATGTACTTTCGATTCCTTGTTATCTGACTATTTAAGATTATACATCTAAGTTTTTCGCTATTTACACTTTATGCAATCTCGATTTCCTGTTATTTACATTCCCGCAATTTCGACTATTTGTCGTTTACACTTAATGCAAATTTGAAGTTTCCGTATTTTACATTTCTTCGCAGCTTTATATTTCGTACTGCTCTTCGATTTGACATTTTACTGCTTTCTTTACTTCGAGTACTTTAAATACAAAATACCAAAAAACAACATTTTCGATTGTTAATTTGCACATTAGGTTGCGTTGTTAGTATTTTCAAATATCATGATTTTCAATTCTCATACACATTTCGATTGAAAATCGTTTGCTAGCCTAAGTAAAAAGAACCTACGTGGTTGGAATTTGGTTAGAACAAAAATCCTTTAAAAATCGAAATCGATCAAAATTCCACCAGAAACAAATTGGCGCGCCAGGTAGGGGGTTTTGTGTCGAAAAAACACAAAATTGGTTAGTTCGAAAGTGTATGAGATTAAGGAGTGGGCGAGTAATAAGAATGAGTCAGAATCCACCAAATAATCAGAGTAACAGTGAGGGTTTGAACAGTCTGAATGGTTCACATCCACCAAACACTGGGGGGCAAGGGCATAATGGGAATATGCCTATAGTATCGAAAACCGCGGGTATGTCGATACCTGTGAGTAATGAACAAAGTTCAGGTACATTAGTAAATACTCAAGTAGGGTCTAGTACTGTGATACCAAACAATATGCAAACTATGGGGAACCCCATAACAACATATGCAGGGTCGTATATGAGCGTAAGACCACCGGGTTTTTCGCTTAATAATATGAGTGGGGCTGGTACTTCTCCAGTACAACGAAATTCGAGATTTAACCTAGGAATGCCTCAAAACTTAGGTACATTTCAAACTCTAGGTATGTCGCAAAATTTCGGAGTATCTCCAAATTTAGGGGCGTCTCAAAATTCAGTAACCCCCCAGAATTTAGGGAGTGTGCAGAATTCAAGTACACAACAGACACCTCCAAACATAGATCATAGAGCAAATCTGGATCATGGGAGATATACATTTGATAGAGATTATCATCGGTCCAACTTCGATACTATCGAAAATGCTAGTACTGGAATCTCCAACAACTCATTAGGAGTACTTAGACAACAAATGGATGAAAGCAATTTTGAGATGGTTAATATGTTGTCACAACAATTGACTACAGTCCTAAACCCATTAGTTCAAAACACTACTACTAGTTTTGAGATATTAGCAGACCAAATGACCTGTATCGGGGATGCATTGGTCATACCTCGACAAACGAGAATGGAAAATCATGCCAATCAGAGCATTAACCAGAACACTAATATTAATCCTCCTTATTTATTAAGGAGAAATCGACACAATGATCAACATCAGAATATGGGGAACGAATATTAGCATGTGAGGAATGATATTTATGGAAATCTGAATGAGGGATTTCAGAACATGTATAATCAAAATAACATGCAGTACAACCACATGTTGGGCAAAGGATGAACCCTCAAGGGGTAGAATTAAGGTCACCCAATAAACCATACTTTGTTTCTCCTTTTCCAAATACGATTCTCGAGACAGAATTACCTCGAGGATACAAAGTACCTAAATTCACCAAATTTGCTGGAGAAATTGGCGAGTCCACTATCGAGCATGTAGCTCGATATCAGATCGAATGTGGGGATTTAGCTATGAGTGAAGAATTAAAAATGAAATATTTCCCTAGTTCATTAACTAAGAATGCTTTCACTTGGTTTACTTCGTTGCCACCCAATTCGATATATAATTGGTTGCAATTGGAAAGAAATTTTCATGCGCAATTCTTCAGAGGGGAGACCCAAGTAAGTCTCATCGACTTAATGAATATAAAGAGATACAATCATGAAAGTATAGACGATTATTTGAATAGATTTAGACAGATGAAGTCAAGATGTTTTACTCAAATTCCTGAATATGAATTAGTCAGAATGGCCTCTGCAGGTTTAGAATTCTCGATTAGGAAAAAGTTAGTTAATTTACCATTGAATGACATGACTCAGCTAGCTGATAAAGTGAGAAGAGTGGAACAAATCGAATATGAAAAACAAAGGTATAAGAAATTTGAGAAACCCATGAAGAAAGAAAGAGTAGCATATATAAATGATGTATATGAGACAGATCCCAAGACAGAAACTGATATTGAAGAAACTGTCGATGAGAAAGTAAATACAGCAGAGCTCAAAGTAGGAGCTCCATATATTTGTAAATTGCTACAGAAAAATAAAGTAAAAGACAAAATGGCAAATCGAACGTATACTTTCGATGTAACAAAAGCCGATAAAATTTTCGATATTTTATTGAAAGATAAGCAGATTAAGTTGAGTGATGATCATAAATTGTCATCTGCAGAACAAAGGAATGGTCGAAAATACTGCAAATTCCATAATATTTATGGACATTGGACTAATAATTGTATACATTTCAGGAACACGATGCAAGATGCGATTGACCAAGGAAGACTGAAGTTCGAGGAGATGTCAATGAAAGTGGACACAAGTCCATTCAAGGTTCAAGTAGGGTATATCGAATCCCAGACGGGCATGACTGAAGATGTCCGATTGACAAATTCGACCTTTGTAGGCATGGTCGATGTTACTGAAGACATTGATCCCAAGCATGTCAGAATGGACGTATCTGAAGAAGACATGGAATTCGACTTGAGTGAGTTCGAGAAAGAATTCGAGAGAGAAATTTACCCTTGATCAGGAGATTCCCTCGTCGAGTTTTTAAACAGAAAGAAAGAAAAGGATGAAGATGTGGCGTTATGTCCACGATGCAGTGCAGTATTCGACAAGTCAGCTGCTAAAGCCTTAAGAGCAGGACAGATGAAGAAAATTGAGAATCAAAAGAAAAGGGACAAAGCAGATCAATCAGCCCAAGCAGCGATAGGGGAAAGTCAACAAAAATCTGTCGGTTCTGATACTAGTAGGAATCAGAGACAGTGGATTGGGAAAGAAATGTATCCTGCTCGAGGAGGAAGGGGCAGATTTCAAAGTAATGATGTCTTCGAGAGACTTTCATATGATGAAGGATCAAATACTTGATTCCCAACATTCCAAAGGAGATTTCGAGGAAGGCCCTGGAGAAGAGGAGGAAGGATCCCTTACTGGAATAATTACAGGAACTTTGAAGAGAGTAATGTATCAATAGGGAGCCAATATGCAAGAGACTTTTTCGATGATAAAAATGAGGGTAGCTGGGATGAACATCAAATCGAAGTAATATCGATACTGCCCGCGAAATATGTTAGTGAGTATAAAGAATACCAAGAGCAAAGTAATGTCGAGCGAGAGGATGACTTCTATTCCGAAGACATAAGGCCAAAGGTGGCATGGGTAACACAAACATCATGCGAAGTACCCCATAGAGATGCTACTTTTATTGATCCTCCATCTGAAGAGATGAGGTTCCACCTGAAGCCTTTATTACTGAATATCGAGATTCAAGGACAAATGGTGAATAGAGTTCTTGTCGATGGTGGTGCAGCAGTGAACATATTACCAATCACTATGCTGAAGAGGTTTGGTATCGAATTGAAAGATTTGTTCAGGTACAATATCATGATTTTCGATTTCAGTGGAAAAACATCGAGCTCAGAAGGAATGATTGCCTTAGATGTAAAAGTGGGCACTTATTCGAGGCCGACCGTGTTTGTAGTCGTTCAATCACATGCCAATTTTAATGCATTACTTGGTCGGGAGTGGATTCATGGAGTGGGAGTCGTACCTTCTACGGCTCATCAAAAGTTGTTTATGTGGAATCGAGATGGACATCTCAAAGTGATTCCAGG